AAAATGAGCACTAGGAAACAAACAGGGCTTTCCAAGAAGCACAAATAGCTGATACAAATGAAAAGATGTTCACCCTTTCAAGCCGTCAGGAAAACACAAGCTACATTCACAATAAGATATCCCGTGGACAGGAATAATTAGAAAGAAAGCCTCCCAGTAACAGACACATACCATCCAGCGCAAAATGCTTATTGCCGCCATGCCATGGGCACCATGGGCATAGCAAGCATTCCTGTTTCAATCGAAACATGACTAGGTAGTCAAAGAAATGCAAACAAAAACAATTTTGGCAACCACGGTCCCACGCCCGTGTGTCCAAATGTTAATACCCAGCGCTGGTGACATGGGCAGACCTCTGTCCTCCTCTGCCACTAACCACAAAGTTAGTTTCGTCCTTTCGGCCAATGCTCTGGCAATTCATACTGAGAGGCTGAAAAAGGTCTGGATGGTTTTTTATACATCTTGATCTATTCTTGGACCCAGTGATCCCACCCTGGGTTTTATTGGAAGGACGGAATCTAAAAATAAATTGTCCCAAGTGCCCAATTTTGGGTTGTTAGAAATAACCCGAGTACCTAACAATAGGAAAAAGGTTCAAGTAAATGACAGTATTTCAGCCTAACGTAATATCCTGTGCAGTGTGCAGATGTTATGTTACTATGTCGAGGTAGTAACATGGAAAAGGTGCGTCTATTTAAGTTTAAAAGAGGCGGAGGATTTCAGAATGTGCTTGTGTTGTCAGCGCAGCTATGCAGATATGCTTCTGGTGTATAGACCAGGACTGGAAAAGGACCCAAAGCGGGGTGGGCTGCAGAAAGGAAAGCATTTGATGAAATGTGCGAAGCGCTGGGATGGTGGCTGGATTTTGCTTTATTATTATTTTTTTATCAATGCATTCCTGTTTTAATGTTGTTTGTGCAGTAAGAGGAGAGAAAATGTTTGTCCCAACCCATGAGAACAAAGGCAGGAGCTGAGAGCAGCTGTGTTCCGGCTTTGGTAAAAGTTGTGTGCACACATCTGAAATCCTCTGCTAGATGAGAAAGCAAGCCTGCCCTTTAGAAGCACTTCAGAGGAAGTATGGCAGGAGGTGAGCTGGGCTGTTGTTCTCCCCAGAAAGTGCCTTTTGTCCCAAATGGTTTTCTTTGATTTCCTTTCTATCGATTAGAACTTAGCTGTGTGTTCAAAGGCTGCAGGGAGAGAGAATTTTCGTCTGGGAAGAGAGCAGAGCGTTTGCACAAGCCGGCTGCTGGGAACGTGCGGGGTGGCTGGCTTCTGGATCCATTTGAGTAATTTACAGTCTATTTCGGTTCTCCCCAGCTACCCGCCTGGTTCAACCAAATTAAGCTCCCCAGGCTCCGAAAAAAGGGAACGAGGCCTGTTTATTTGTGACATTGCCTTGGAAAGGGAAAAGGCACTCATTTCCTTCTCCCACCTCAGCTTCCATTCTCCTGAGGTCGGATAGGGCTGGTGACAGATGCCATGCTGGTGACCCCTCTCAGACCAGTGGCAGCGGTGAGCCAGCCATGTTGGGGGCTGCACAGTTTGCTCACTTGGTCATCTGGATTGGAGTCGTTCCAGGTGCTGCTGTGAGTATGGTGGTGGAGACGGTCCTTGCCTTTATAGCGTACAAGAAAATAGCCAATAAGGACCAAGTATCACGAAAGAAATAAAACGAGGCGATGTGATGGAAAGCGATGGAAGCAGGGAGCTATTTCCCAAAGGGTGGTTGAGGAAAGCTTAGATGAGGAGGTGACATTTGAGTTGAGATTCCCAAGCTGAGGGCACAGCAGGTACAGACCCTGGGGCTGGAATGCTCTTGTGTTTTCAAGGAACAGAAAGAACGCAGATGTGGCTGGTGGATGAGGTCTGAGAAGTAGGCAGCGGCCAAGTTATTTAGATCTTGGTGGACCCATGGTTCTCATCTGGGTGATGTATCCTTCAGGAGACATTTGGCAATGTCTAGAGACATTTGTGGTTTTTTTTT